CTTCCATAGGAAGTCTCGAGCTTTCCGCGGCAAAGATTACTTTAATTGTTTGAAACTTAATTTATGCGCCTCCCTGCGCACGCGGTTACCTTTCTAATTTTGCGAAGGAAAAATCAAATTTTTGAGTTAATTATATTGTACTTCTTGTTCTTCGGCTTTTATTATTTGTTCTACTTGTTTAATTATATCGATTTTGTCTAATAATCGTTAAATATATTATCTTTTATTCTTTTTACTATATTTTATTGATTTAAAAATTTTTTTTTAATTTATTATTAAAGCATATATCTCTAAGTAAAATAACATTACTTAGAATTACTATTAACACTGCTTTGAATTACTATTTGAATTTAAAAATTTACTTAATTTTTTATTTTATGAATGAATAATTAGATTTTTAAACTAAATATATCACACAAGTATTGCTAATGTAATTAGTCTGATAAATGACTACACAGTAAAAAATTTTGTGTTAAATTTAACATATTTCACATGTCCCAATTTATCCACTCTAATTTTAATGTTAATTTAACAGAAGGCAAGTATGTAAATAAATAACACAAGTAATATGTTTAAAAAAATAACACAAAAGTGTAACATTTAAATTTTATCTAGAAATAAAGTTTATGTTAAATTAACATATTTATAATGTTAAATTTAATTAAAAGAAAATGTTATTCTTACATTTTTATGATAAATAACAGAAGAGATATGTCGTTTAACATATGAAAACTGTTATAGAGAAAAAAATAACACAACTTAATTGTTCATTTTAACATATTTCATCAAAAATTCGTGTATTTACATATTAATTGTGTTGTTTTAACTCTTAGAAACGGTGAATATTAACTCAACACAGAAATGTCAAAATAACGCAATGATAATATGTTACATTAACATAAGAGTATGTTAAAAATTTAACACAAAAGTTTTTACACGAGAAAATTTTAACAGAAATACAAAATGTTTTTTACTGTGTACTTACATAAATTCTTGCAAACGCACATTTAACTTGGATAAATTTGATACTGACAGTTTGATATTTAGTAATTAAATGAGTGTCTGGAAATAATAGATTAAAGCCAGAAAAACAATATAAAAATAGAAAAAGTAAAAAAGCATGAATTAAACTAATTTTAAAAAAACAGGAATTATATGATTTATTTTTTACGAGCAAACTTAGATCGTCTTATATTTGTTATTGAACAAAGCTTGACATTAACAATCTAAACATTTATTGACTATTTAAATTACATAAAAATATATATGACTACGCTTGATGAAGAAAAATACAAGAATAAAACAGATAAAACTAGAAATAGAATGTATTCTATATTTAAAATTATTTTACACGAAACATGTATTCAATTTATTTTCTGCAACAACTTAAATTTTTCGATTTCAGTTTGAGGATCGCGTATCCACATTATTATAAATTAATTATTACATATTATTGGCTAAGTTTATAATATCAAATATATAATATAAATATTGGCTTTAGATTTAAAGTGAAAATACAGAATTCACGATTCATATGTTAGAATTTGGCGACTTTAATGCCCGACAAAGGACATATTCGCTCTTAAAATCTTATCTTCAAAGAAAATGAAAAAGAAAATTGAACTTTATTCAGATTTATTTTATTAAAATAGTAATGTGGTAATCTAATCTAAATTAGAAATTAATTTCTCGTCCATAATTTGCGACAAACTAATAAGAATTATTTATAAATAACAAGTTATTTTTAAATTATGATTAGAGTTACTGATCGCTGACGAAATTAATCATTAATTTGTTAGAGCCAATTTTCAGCATTAAAATAAATTTATCGCAATTAAATGTGAAGACCTCTTCCTGAAAAGAACAAATTATACGGATAGAATGAGAGTCAACTATAGATAGGCCATTCGACAGACGTCCGGAACAGCGTGAGAGGACACGAATTGCGGGCATTCGCTACGCTCTCTCGAGCCGTGATTTGTCCGCCCAATTTCACGGCCCTTTCGGGAAAAATGGGAAAATTTCTCCTCTCTCAGTCGCGGCAACGAGTGTGGGAAATAGATCGCGTTATTCTCCCGCGGTTGACTCTTTGACACGCCCATGGCGAACGCGCGGATTAAAACGTTCCTTCCACTCTTACGTTTTGGTACTGGTATTTAAATCATACAAACAGTGTAAATTCCAGCGAGTGATCATAGAGGATTATTTAATTCAATTGTAGTGTCTTGAATTAGTGGGAAAAATTGCACACGCGTAACAGTATAAATTAGATAAATAACAATCAGTCCAAATACACATTTTATCCAACCGAATATTTTTTGTTTTATTATTATTGACGAGAAAACTGTTTCGTTCATAAATAATAAAAAACCTCGTTTTATTATTATTTATGAAAAAACTTTAAATTTTATTTCTTATAAAGTAATAAAAAAGCATCGCATTAAAAAAAGCAACTAGGTTTATATTAGATATCTTCTTTCCCTCTCTCTTTCTCTCTCTTTCACACACAATATCTTTCATACACTTCCCATCAAAACTCTGATATTTATACCATTATATCATTGATATTTATACCATATTCAGCGATTCATTTAATGTAGTTAACAATACATTCTTAGTTTCGAAATAAACAGTGACTCTCGTTTAGCAGTTCAATTTTATAATTACTTAAATTATTTATTTTTGTATATCTGTACTATATATAATTAACTACAATCTGTTTTAAATTTTTTACAATTTTCAATATAGGGAAATTATATATGGCATATTAATAAGAAAAAACGCGCACTATTGATTAGGTTTAGGAAATTAATTAAAAATTACATTATAATTTTTAAACATCATCAATAATTAGATCTTAATATAAATGCTTCTTTCATACTTTCCTTCTTCAATGGCTACATTGTTATGAACAGAATAAAACATTCGAATCATGTATCTCAACAATTAATATTAATGACATTTTTATCATAACTTTTGTTACACAAATTTATGAACCATCTAAATCTCTCGGGAGATTGATTGAAAAATACGTTTTTTTTTAATAATTGAAAAGAACAGTTGAAAGCTTTTCAATTTTAATCGTTGGAAATGTAACGACAGGGAGCGGTCGAGTCTGAAAATTGTTAAATTTGGTTTCGCTGTTCTCTATCGACTAACTTCGACCCTCGCCCTATGCAACGACGATGTCAATCGAGGTCAGCGTCGCCGCCGCAGTCTCGGTATCGCCTTCCGGAGCGCGTCCGCGGACGATTATTAGTTTTCCGCCTCTCCCGGAAACCGTCGGCTCGTTCTCATCGACCGCAAAGAACGTGGTAACGTCGTCGTCCACCGCCCGTCGTACGTTACTACGCTCTATAGGGGAGAGTCGCTCTTTCCGCGTCCTCTAGGTAGGCGTGGCAGCGTCGGGAGAGATGATTTATCCCTCGCGCGAGGCGCAGTAACTGCCGAGATCGCTGGCTAAACGACCGCGCCGGTCCTTTTCGTGTATTAACCGTAATGCACTCTGCCTTGCTATTGTGTACACTGTATACGATCCCCCCGTTCTACTTCTTCGGACCCCCTTCAAGCCCCCCCTTCAACTACCCCGGCGACCTTTCGTTTTTTTCCCTGTCATCTTCTGCAATTTTTTGACATTCTCTTGTTGGACATTATTATAACTTATGAAAGATGTTTCTAGTTTCTTTTTTGCGCGAAGAATTTCGTCCAAGATTAATTATTTCTATCTTTGTTACAGCGCATATTTCTGTTCTCTCACTTCAAGTTCGATTAATTCATGTACATGTTGTTATTTTAGGTTAACGTTTTTGATAGACTTTTTTATCACTGATGAACAATGATTTTAATACACATTCATGCTATTATTATGATTGATTTGTACTATATATCAGTTGTAGAAAACACAATAAGAAAATAAAAATAGGAATGCATAAAAATAAGAAGACGCCTTTTTACAATAATTATTATCGCAATTTAAAAATTAACATGTTTGTTAAAAATTAACACATTTTTGTTAAAAATTAACATGTCGATATATTTTAAAAAGAGTGCAACTATACAATATTAATAATTAGACTTCTTTATTATGTACCCTTGTTACTTACCTAAGAAGATAAAATCACCTGTCATCAATTATTGATGATCAATAGTTGATGCTCAATTAATTTGCGCGCTGAGAAAAACTCTTATATTTTTATCGCCGTTTCCGTTTCAAAAGTCACGGCTATTCCGAGTCAAAGAAGGCTAAATCGAATTAGCCGGCTGACACATTGACGTGTTTTGCATCGTCCTGCAGTTGCAGCGGCCCGGTCGAACCTGGCATATGGGGTCACGCCTACGAGGTAAGCGAAGGGGGCCCCGATTTCGTCCGTGGAGCCCTATTCAGAGACTCGGGGCCCGCACGCGACGCAGCCTGCAAAAATGCGCAATCCACCGATTTGAGATGACGATCCGATCCCGTGGGAGCACCCGATGACGATGAGTCGACCTGGGGCGGCCGGAGGCCCCCTCGAGAACCGCAACAAAATTGTCAAAACAAGACAAACGCAGGAACCCTTGCGATTAGCAATCTCTGTCAATCGATCTTTTGAATCGAAATCTGCGAGATAAATTCTGGGAAAATGTAAATATAAAAGTCAAGAACTTTGAGAGATTCTTCAAGACGTTATCTCAAAATTCTATAATTTATTCTAAAATAAATTAAGATTGTTCATACCATCCAGTATTGCAAGTCTTGATTTTCAAAGATTTTTATCTGTCCTCAATAAAATTAGAATATTATAAATTGTCAATCCAACCCTTAAAATAGCTTTAAGGAAGAGGAGAAGATATCTCCTTTCGATTTTATTGCGATGAAACAATCCGCATGTATAAATTTCTTTTATTATGCAAATATTTTTAATTATCAAGAGGATAAGTAAAGTGATACTCTTTTAATTAATTAATTCTTAGATTAACATAATTGCGCACCGAGTAGGCATAAGGTAGAAAGCAAAATGATATTTCGAATTATAGTCGCACGTTTTATTGCCGACACGATATTACAACGTATGCAAGTCTATAGCCCGACATTTTGTGCGCTTCCGCCTCGTTGTAACGTTTCGTCGTTGTAATACAGCTGCGATGATCGCACGGCTGATCGATACGCGGTATTGCCGCCACGTAATAGTTGCTCGCCAGGCTGAAACCCACTGCTTAATGTAAACTATCTACAAATACGAGCTACGATGTTTATGCGGAATTACTATCTACCTGGTATACATGTATATATTTACAAACTTCTAGGACTTACTATTTACAATGCGCGCTATGAAGTCGGAAAAGGATATCGAGCGCTCGAGCAATATGATCGAAATGACTTTCTTGCGCATTTAGAATATTTAAACCGATGCGACAGAAAATGAATTAAGTAGAGAAATAATTTAAATAATTAAAGAAACATTTAAAAGATAGAAAATATTTGATAGAAAAATTCCATTCTATTGTTAGCAAGCGAGTCATGCATGCTTAATTTAATTTCAATGAAAAATCCTCCTGTCTCGGCGAATAATTAACATATAACAAAAATTATAAAAGAAAGATATATCTGTCAAGATATAAGTATTCATCTTTTCGTAATTTTTCACATTTATCGTGGTTGATTTTTAACTCTTGATTGATAGGTATTCATATCGAGGACATCCGATTTCATTTTGTCGCGCGCACATTCTACACCGATTATCATTTTACCTCTATCTCTTTCTTTCGCGTCTTAACGTACCAGGAGTCCAATTCATCATCCGCACGACGTTCACTACCTCCCGGAGGATCCGAGACCAGCTCGATGCGCTGGCACCGCAAAGGCCCTCAAACCACCTCCAACCCCGATCTCTACTCCCATACCGGCTCCCAGTGGCGGCTGCACCTGGCCAGTCAGGTTCACTGATGAGTTTACTAGTCCCAAGGTGTCACCCAACACCGACCCCGCTCCCGGTGATGCGCTCTCGCCCGATGATGGTGTTGGCCTCGCTCGCGGTGCCCTCGCGCACTTCTCCAGATGATGATGATGCGATCTGACAGCCAGACGGCTCACGTGCACTGGTATCGGCACTACGATTCTGGTACCTGAGCCGGTGTGTTGGCCAGCGGTACCATTGTGGCGACCAGAAGCGCCGGAGGGCGTTATAGCCGACGTCGCCGTCGAACCGACGCCGACGCCGCCGCCGCTCAACCCGGCCTTCACCCGCTTCCACTTGGCACGTCGATTCTGGAACCAGATCTTCACCTGCGCCAGAGTTATGTTGATTTGAAAAGCAAGTTCTTTCGCGATAGAGAGAAGAACCAAATTGCATATAATAAAATAATTAACACACACATGCACATAAATATATTTATAAAATGTATTTAAAGAGCAATTAACTTTAGCTATTTCATTCAAGATGATACGTTTTCTGTATTATAAATTATTTTTGACATTTCTATAAATTCTCAATATCCTCCAGATTGCGAGAATTATATTCAACATTTAAGTCTTAATTTTGAATGTTTAATTAATTAAATGAATTATTCTTTAACATCAAATTCTAATTGTATGTATAGCTCATTGACTTATCGTGTTCAGCACTGACCTGCACTTCCGACAGCTTCAGCGCGTGCGCTATATGCGAACGCTCTGTCAGGCTCAGGTACTTCTTTGCGTGGAACTCGCGCTCCAGCTCTAACAGCTGTTCCGAAGTGAACGCGGTACGTCGCCGTCGGGCCTTGTTGCCACCGGTGTTCGACGTTGACGAATTTTGCCCGTTCTCTAAGGACCTGCTGGGACTTGTGGTGACATTGCCGATGCCGCCAACACCACCATCGGAAATGTCGTGACCCTCGCCGGAACCCGCAGCCCCACCACCCTCTTCGTCGCTCTCAGCTGATACACGATCGTTCTCGGATCCTGCAACACGTGGATGATTATGAAGCATCTGTCAAATTGCATATTTCTTTTATATAAAATATCAAAATTTTAAATCTAATTAATTCATCGAAATATATGTGCCAAAAAAATTTAAAACTAATGGTAAAATAATTTGTCACTAAATTAATTTGCGTTATATTTTTATATTCTGTCAATATGTGTGCGCATCGTTTAAATATTTGTTGCAAGCATAGATACGAATAGAAAATATAACATGCTTTTTAATCAAAATATTATTTCTATGATAAACTCACAATTGAATTATTAAGAACAAATAAAAATTATATTCAACATTCAAAAAATATAATCGTCCTAAGAAATGATTTTAAAATGCACAATTTTTAGATAGAAGGGTTATAATCCACAATAACTCGAGATATATTAAGTCATCAAGGGACTTTATCGCTATCGAGAGTACATCGCCGCGGTATGTATAGCCTGGCGGCTATTTAATATGCGGAGCAGATTGGTCGTTCCTTCATAAAAGTTGCGCTCTTCGATCGTCGGCAACGTTCTCTCGTCCGTAATTTCCCGTACAGAGTTTTTTTTTCTTTCATCCGCGAGACAACCGAGCGCGACATGCAATATGCACCGAGATACGAAACAAAGTTACTGTGGAGTTTGATGACTCCGTCGGGTTATCATTTATTGAAAATTATTCCTACAGCGTGGTTATATAGTAGTATAAATGGCTTGCGCTTGACTGATCGACGGTCGACTGAATAAAAAACAGAATTCGCATTAATTCACAGATGTCGGAGGAAACAATTTGAAGGTTGTCTTTAATATTAACATAACAATTAGAGGCTTTTTATATAAAAGGAAGAAACGAGACAGAGTTCCAATCAAAAATACATTAAGAATTTTTCAAAAATTTAATAAAAAAAAGAAATTATGCAATTTATTTTCTATAATATTTTAGAGATCGATGAATAAATCAATATTTATTTAGCTTTCTAAAAATAATATAAAAATATAAAGATAAATTATTAAAATTTACTAAAATAATATAACTAAAATTTACATAGATGCTTTATTGAAAATTTTATGCTCTTTATTTGAAAAATCAAAACATCAGAACCCACGTTCTATTAGATCTAAAGTTATATTCCAATAGATAAATTAATAGGTATTAAGACCTATGTACATGCAGTCCATTTCCCTCAGAGAGAAATAGTATAAATAGAATCATATAGGTTTTCTCCTCGTCGTATTTTCTCAAGTAAGCAACCGCACGTGATTCGCACAACTTTTCCCATATGGTCGAGTCGCATGATCAAGAGCCGATCGTTATTTGCGGGCGCATTATTTCCTGCTAAAGTTCGTTGTCAACGGTCAACTTGGCTATGGTTAGCTTGAGTTATTCATCGGTCGCGATTCGCGTCTTTCTTATCCCGAAGTTCGCGGATCGCGCACTTACAGGAGCGCGCAAACTTTCCACCACCGTCGGTTTGATGCACTCTTCAATCGCTAACTTATTCAGAAGGTTTCGATTAGACGAACGATACGCTTCCGCGAGTGTACACGGGCGTTGTCCCTTGCTTCCCGTCTTTACACTTTGCGGCGGAATCGATCTGGAAGCACGACATTGTTACATCCTCGTTTAGCGGACCATACTCCTTTAGCGAATAGAGTTATTGGAGCGAGGCTATAACTCGAAACTTAAACACGACAATGAAATCGCTTTCGCTTGTTTGAAGCTGGCAATTCGGCTCTTGTAGCGAACAGATGAAGGCGACGTGAAATCGGTGAATGAACACAATATTGATTCACTCGCGAAAAAATCATTAAATGTGTCTTTTTCCAACAGAAAGAGAAAAGAAATTTTACATAAAAATAAAAAGATTTAGTTTGTATAAATAATGATTTAGTTTGTATAAATACATTTTACATTAAATCAATTCTAATAAAATAAATTCCAAATTATTCTAGTTTATAAGTTATTTTTAAAGTGTAAATTGTATCAATTTTTTTTATTTTCATTAAATTGTTAATTTATCTGTAAAAAATATTTGTCTTTAGAAAAATTTATCTTTAAAAAAATATTTGTCAAATATTCCATACATACATGTGTGCACCTACAATACAGACACAAAAAAAAATATTTTTATCTAAAAAAAAATATTTTTTTAGAATATATATGGATTCAATTTAATAAATATAAAATTATGTAATATAGTTATGTAGATAGTTGTGTGATATTAAGTATATAGTTATGTAAAGTTATGTAAGTTTTATAATACGAGCGAAATATTATTTTATTTATAAGAGGTTAATTTGCTCACATGGATCGATTAGGTTGCAAATTTACCCGCCAATTACACGAACACGCAACAGATTAATTGGGTCGCGGCATCTTTATCGATTTCACTAAGAAAAGCTGCTGATATCTATATACTTAACGTAATATTACAATGTTATCGATTCGTCATACATAATAATAATCGGCGAAAATAGCTGACGTTATCAGAGCTCATATTTTATTTAACCATTGGTAAAGAGCAATTATTGAAATCTGTCAATGATGAAATAGCCGGAAATTAAATCATTTAAAGATCTTTATCCTTAATTCATTGACTATTTGTGTCGGGTTAATTTTCGCAATTTACCCACTTTCATTGTTTTCATTCTCTCAACTATTTCTTCGTCAGCTGATTCTTTTTTATACGGAAAATATTTTTATCAGGAAAATATTTTACATACTTTAAAAAATTTTTTCCTGATATAAATATCTTGATTATAAATTTCTGATACATATAAAATATCTCAAAATATATTAGAATTAAAGTATCTTTTTTAAACAATAAAATGTTTTGAATTTTAAATGATTTTAGAATTCTTGAATTTTTAATTTTTTGAAAAGTATTTTCTTAAGGGAGAAATTCTTGATTTTAAAATTTTAAAATTCTTTGATCCTTTAAAAGTTAACAATTCTTTGAGTTCACGATTCTTCAATTTTTTTAAAAATACAATAAAATTAATCCAATTATTCCGCGGTTATATAATGTCTCGCATAATGATGCAAGGTTCCACAATTGATCGGCAGAATCGTGCCAATCTTGGTATCGTCGTTACCAAGGGGTACCGTTCTTTTTTTTCGCGACAAGTATGGTGCGGTTCTTTACGGACCAAGATGCGATCCTCCCATATCGTGTCGGACGCGCCGCAGGCTCACCACAATCGGGCAATGAATAACGAAATTTCACCGACCAGGAAAACTGCGGGAAAAGCAAAAAAAATGTCCGGGGGTCGAGTGCTTTCGTTCGATTGCAAGTGCGGATACCAAGTAGTCGAGGAAACAATTTATGCATCTGTGGTCTCCACAGATAAAAATGCAAAGAGCTCGCGTGGGTTTGATTATAATCGTAGCTTATGTACATATTTCTTCTTATACATTCAGCATTAGCGTGATCGTTGAAAAATTATGCAAACATTATTATTATGAAAACAAATATGAAGGATTCAGGACATAATATCTATAGCATCACATAAATATCTTATCATCCTTTCGTTGAACACTTTTAATTATATCACTGCACTTCTCCTATTTTTGCAACTTAGCGGTAGATTTCGATATTCGTGTATGATTCCAGCCGTGTGTGAGAAATAAATCCGCTGATTAAGCGTTAAGGAAACAGGCGAGATTCGCGACCTGATTCGAGAATAATTTGCTCGATCGCAGCCCCCGATATAGCGCCCGACGCGATCGATCGGCGAGCTTCGCCGGAAGCAATTATCAGGATCGGATCGTAGGAAGCGCTCATTCGCTCGCTCGTGTATGACTCTGAGTAAATGTATTTTTGGATACGCGACATGAAATTTCAATCGGGCTTATTAACGGTCGCTCTGCCAGTATGCACCGTATGATGACGTTACCGAGCGTTGCGACGATCGATATAGCGAAATGTCGTTTTGTCTTCTTTCCTCTTCCTGCATTTATTATATTCGCATGCTGCGAATATATTACAAGCGTTCTTAGACAGTAAAATATGAAAATCGAACATGTGAATAAAATATATATAATTGTAACATAATAAAATTGTAATATGATATTTAACATACAGAGGAAAAAATAAAATAAAATTGTAACATAATATTTAACATACAGAGAAAAAAACAGAGAGATAAAGAAAAAAAGATCGAAAAATTTTAAAATTAATTTTTGATAGTAAAATGATTTCCCAAGAGATAATTTAAAATTAATAATTTTTGAAGATAAAATATAAACAATCAAGAACATCTCAAAGAAAATGTATTTCCTTCTATGTAATATGTAATGCTTTAAAAAATGAAAGAGATTGTCTTTGCTGGATGAAAATGACACGAAACTATTTGTCGCAATTAAATAATGCATGTACATTCCACTTTATAATTTTGAGAGTTTTTTCATTCTCACAATCTCGGTTACATCACATTTATCGACAGATTTTTTCTATAAATGCTTCTTATGCACTAGATAATTGTCGAATCGCCGAGTCGCCGAGTCGCCGGCAGTTATAGCCTGGATTATACCAGTTGTTAATTCTGCAACGCTGGCATTATAAATATCACACGATGCTCAACGTCGCGGCAAAATTGACGGCTTCCATTCATAGCGACGCGACAGCCACTTTGTTACACGTTACTGGCTCGAAGCCGATCCTTCATATAATCTTAGTCGTCGTCCTGACGGCTATGAATGACGAATGACGTGGTCTAAAAGGACCTTTCGTCTCGCATGCCAAATCGAAATATGATCCTTCCGATGCACGATACGCTAATCGGCATTCCGTCGCAAAATCGGTGAGTGCGATTAAAATTCAAGTGACATTCGATGATTATCTTCTTGTGTGCTGTTTGAACGTCATCAAATTAGATTCGAATACAGAGTAAAGGAAACGAGCGATTATAGTAATTACACTTAATTAATTAGTCTTATTCTCGCTATAGAGGAAAATTAACAGAACGCTACCTTAAAACTGTTTCCAATAAACATAACTTTGAATTCTTTTAGATTATCGTAATCACAAAAGACAAGATAAGTAACACGTAAAAAACGTTTCAATTTTGATCGTTCACAGATAATCTAGATAAATTACAAAAATTAATTTTATTATAATATTTTGCTATAAGATATTATAAAACAATTGCGTCAGAATATTGATATAATCTGATAGCGTCACCAATCATAATATCCTCACAATCAGACAATTCGTCGGATTTTTTTCTTCAGCAGTAGTAGTAATATTTTTGTAAGTGGCTTACAGATATATCTAGAAACAGTTAGTTTGGGTTTAAATTTTACATTATGTGACAAGTAAGCCAATTTATCATGCAAAGAATTATTTAATCTATCAGTAAATTCAACGAAGTAAAAAACGGGATTTACATAAATTTTCATGGATTTTTTTGATTTTTCGAAGCGATAGAGAATAGAATCGTTTCATGTCGCCGTGTGAATGGAACTCTAAATTTTTTATAAACAGTCAAGAGCTTCGTTTTTTTGACTCTTTCACATTTCCATTTACATAGTCAATTTTCATGTTCTTACGATGAAAACGCTGTTAACACACTTTCTAGGCCAACAATAAATAATTCGCTACTGAATATCGCGCGCGCGCGCGAGACTTGTTCTCATTTCAAAGTACTTGTCTTACTAATCCAATCTTCAATACATCTACGTGATGGATTCGATATTTTTGTATCTCTAAGTAATGGAATCCAAATCTGTATGTCCAGGATTTTGAGATTTTTCTTTTAAAGTAATAAAACGTGTACACATTTTAAAAATGTATCATTCAAAAATTCTGATTGATATAATATTGAAAAATAATATTCTTGAAGAAAATTTAATTATATAAGAAAATTTAATTATATAAGAAAATTTAATTATATAAAGCAAACTTTATTAAAATTAACAAAATAATATACGAAAGAGATTACTCGACATAAGTTATTTTTATAGAAGAAGAATTCAATATACACCAGAAGACACTTAGTAGACTGCCCTATTAAAAGTATTATCTTTCAATATACTCCAATACCTTCCAATAAAAATTTCAATACCTCCCAATCTCAGTTGCAGAAATTGTATAATCGAACAATTTGAAGATCTTAGACATTATAAAAGGAAGAGTTATTTTTAACTTCTCGTCATATTGGATAATAGCTCCGACAATCGATAAAATCTTAGCTGCGCCGTTGTGTATTTATGACGCATCGTCTCGATCGACGATCGCATTAAAATAACTGTCCGTTCGTAGACTGTATAAAAATTCACTGCTCATCAAGAATAAAACCGATCGAGAAAGCATGCACAATGCATATGCTTGATGGCACTAACGTTCATTCTATCACGCATTTCTTACAAGCCAATTTATTTGTTTCTATTAATAGTTAAGATTAATCAAAAGAATTAATTAAAAGATTAAAAGATTAATTAATAGAATAGTCAAAATTGAAATTATATATTTCAAAAATAAAGAAGTGCCAATTCTTTTTTGCAGAATTTAAATAGTATTTTATCTTATGCATTTTAAATTAAAGATTCACATATGATACACTATAACATACAATTATAATTAGTAACATTATAATTTAGTAGGAACGGCCTTGTAAAAAAAATAAATTATTCTTTTGAATTGTATTGTAATTACATAATTCATTGAAAAATATTAAAATTCTTTCAGTACAGAGCTGTTCAAAGTGCAACATGATTTTTTCTATAATTTAATTTTTTTAATATTCTTCCTTCTTCCTTCATTTATCTTGTTGCTTCGAAAAATTATATACTTTATTGAGTCTCAGAGATTTTTATTTCTTAATTTATACTTATTGATTTTTTTGTATTTTTCAATACTTGACTCATACATTGCTATTCAAATTTAGAATCTTAATTCTTAAATTCATATCTGATTTTTGATTCCAGGATATTGGGATATCAATCGTAGTAAAATTAGTTTCAGAAATTGATATTTAATGTATTCGAATTATTTTTTTAATTTTTTCCCATTCCATTGATTCTCATCAGAGCAAGATCAGGATTGGTAATCCACGCATTGTACGAGAATGCAATGCTCACACGTAGGTGGATCGCGACGAATTCGTGGAACGTCGCGATCGCGCCTCATCGTGACGATCGGACGCACCGGTTCGGCGCGGTGCGTCATAAATGACCGATGACAGGTTCCCCGAAGTCATTTCGTCTCGCATACGAAATCGCCGCCGGTCGGCGGTACATCAATAAAAAGTGTGTCCGGCCACGAATAAATGCGCGCGCCTGTACACCATCGGAATTGTCCCCACGAAAATACGTGATCGACGATCACGTACCCTTCGACTTTCGGCGATCATCCAGCGGCGCCTTTTCGAAGAACTATATCTGCAAGATATTGTCTAAAAATTCTTGAAAAGAAAAAATGATTTTCCGTCCTTTTTTAAAACTAACTCTTTAGGCATGTTATCGTTTTAAGTTATATTTATTTATTCCGATTTTATTTCTCGCCCCTTTCATTTGAGTTTTATTTTACGAAAAATATATATTCTTGAGATATTCAAAGTATTTCTTCACTATATTTTAACTTTGCGATCATCTATTAAATATTATATTTCTAGAAAATCTCCGAAAAATACGAGAAGATTGGAATTTATGGAAGATACATTAGAGAAAATTCGGCCAGGATATTCAGAAGTATCATAATATTTCATACATTCACATATGTCTGTACACATAAGAGATCAGGCCACGAGACCGTGATAATTTATGCACGCTACCGTGTATCTCGATCCTTTGCGGTCGATCGTGGCGACTGCGATCGTGACCAAAGACACGCCATCGGAATTTGTAAACACTTAACAGTCGAACCCGCCGATTTCTCCCGTTTCGCGATTGGATCCATAGATCATTCTGCGCCCCTCTTTAGAGACCATTGCTTTGACGGCAATATTTGTTCCTGCACCATTCATCGCTTAATTATTAAATAATCATATTACGATTTAAATGATATTTCTTCCTAAAATTATATTACGGTAAAGATACCACACTTCTCATGCAAAATTAATTTGTTGTATTAAGTTAATAGCCGAACAAGATGGAAAATTGTCAGAATTCAGAATTTATATATGGATCGACATATTTTCGCTAACTTTAAATTACCGCACTATCAAAAGATTTAAAATTATGTAATATACATAGTGTTATTACCATATAATCTATCACTATAAGATAATCAAAGCACTTACATGTGCTCTCTTAGAAAACTAAGACTGTTCCAAAGCACTTTCTGCATTTATAACAAGTTACTACTAACTTTGTGGCGAGTTATATTCAGCATTGCATGTTATTAACATGTGTTCTATGTTTTCTACACATATATATATATATATATATATATATATATATATATATGTATAACTTTCACGCATCTTTTTATCTCGCCCATTTTTGAAAGATGATACAACAAAAAAATTTATTCACTTATTTATAAGATTATTATAAACTATATTTAATTTAATTTAATTTAAATTATTTGGATTATATATATTTAAACCCGAGATGCGGACGATTAATTTGAGAGAAGGGGAGATGAAATGCTATATCAAACATATTTCTTCACTGAAAGAAGACTCTGCCAATCCAAACAGCACTCTGGCCCGCCGCAAATTCTCTCGTTATATTGTTTTTATTACAAAACCATTATTCCTAAAAATAAATTATTTGCCATCTTAACTTTGTAAACAGCCCGCAAATTTTCTTGTCATTTATTGCATTATGAATTATTATTCCTAAAAACAAATCATTTGCTTTTATCTCTCTCGCGCTTACAATCTTCTTCATGAAAATAAAAAAGAATGTTAAGGGGAAGGGTTAAAACTGTGTAGCTTACCGTGTCGCGACTTGGAGAGATCGTGCGCCGGCGACGCCGGCGAACCGATGCTGCCGTCCTCGTCTTCGCTGTCGGTGAAGCTACTGAGGGCACGCTGACTCCCCGTGCGACGGCAACCATCCAAGGGGTAGTATCCCTGCGGATGACCGGACGCTGACGCGGAGAGCTGTGGCAACCGGCTCTGATGCAGCTCCGGATGAGCCGGATAGCCGGCGGACGGATGTTGCGGCGGCAGCATCGGGACGCCGGATGCACCGCTGCCGCCGTACATCCGCATCGGTAGCCAGGCACTGTACAGACCCAGTGGCACGCCGAAACCTGCGTAGAAGGGTTGATGGATTTAGATGGTTTAGATGATCGGTAGATTCGGGTAGATGGATATAGAAGTAAATTGTCGATAGATTTATTCAGATTCTATCTAAACCAGAGCGGTCTATTTTTGAACAAACTTGATTCAATAATTTTAATTTTAATTCTCAATGGGATTGTTAATTACTGTTAATAATAATTTAAATGTATAAAAATAGATTATCGAATATTTTGAGTATGTTTTTTAACCGCATTTAAAATAACAATTTAAAATTTTTACTTAGCATTTCTCTTATTGCATTCTTCGTTTCTTAGAGTTAAATAGTGAAAGTATATTTCAAATCACGAAGACATGTAATTTGATTATTTTAATGTAAAATTTAATATCTCTTCGTTAAATATTCTATCAATGTCTTCATTTATGACTTCGATCTTTCCAACATCCATTAATACAAATGAATGTAATTGCAGGATTAATCAAATTTCATGTTTTACTTTTAGTCTTGTTAACAAATGTTTAATAAAATGTTTCTTTGTTTGCTAAATATTTATTCTTACATTTAACTTTTATTTTCTTGAACATATTTTTTATTTCTTAAATTCATATTTGCATTCACATATTCATTGTTGCTATTTATAAATTATGCAACTGCTTTATTTTTTAAAGTAATTTTAGATTTTGATTTTCATATATATATTGTAACTCTCTTTTAATTAACACTAATTATGACTTTGTATGACATATATTTTTCTTCATTAAATTCATAGCAATTCAATTTTTTTTTGTATCAACGAAATTATATATATATATATAATTTCGTGGTTACAAGTTAATGTTTAATGATATAACTTAGAGTTAACTGCGTCATACTACAATAAGTTGAATAGAAGAAGAAACAATAGGTTTCAAAGGTTTCAATTATAAGCATATCCATGATCGCAGATTATAGTCCGCAAAACGTCGCCAGCACCTGGTATCTTTTCACGTTTTGGAGCATCGCTTAGACATCGTGGCGCCTTTGACTCGATAGAATAATCTCTTATAGTGATTGTATCATTATCTATCTGCACGTATATTGCATTAAATAATCAAAAATATTAATAGTTATATCTCATCCAAAGCCAACAAACTGCAAAATGCAATGTTTGACAAATATACATAGTATTTAATTTTTAACAAATATATATATGTAAAAAGCATAATATTTAATCATATGCATTTCTAATATATTTGCTCGCGTTTTATATCATTCATGATATCAGCCATTGCTGGCTAAATCGGTATATAATTCTCCCGACGGAAAAGTAATAAAGATTGTATGAGAATCCTGCATAATTTAATTTTTAACGATTCCACCATATGCATGAATGAAGAATTTTTCTTTCCACAATGAAAATTCTTACGATGACTTGTTAAAGATTATAATAGATAAATGTTATTGTTTCATGTTTGAGGCATTTATTAGTTTCATTGTTCGTCTGTAATTAAAATAAAAATTGATAGAAAATATGCATAATATGTATTTTTTTAAACCGAATATATCATCGATTGAAACGATGACAAGATTTCATCGAAGATTAATATTTCACATGCAAATCATTCGCTATCAGTAATTCTAGTGCTATACTCGTATTTATAATTGAAAGCACTACTTATCAATGATAATACACTGATATCACTTAAAAGAGTATAAGATGCAAACATTTAAAAATTTAGTGGATCAATAAGCTCTTCCATTGTACAGATATCAAGATTTCACAATCTTAATATCTCTTATAAAATTAGCTGTTTTAATAAAAAAAAGTTTTATTATATATAATTTATTTATAATAACATTTATAATTATACACACATATATTTGACGTGAGATTTCAAATTGTTTCCTAACAATTTTATCATTGAAGAAAATATATTGACGAAAACTGAATGAATTGTCGGAACACAGACGTGGTAACACGCTCTTTTCTGCAGTTATCGATTCGTTCATTTTTATGTATTTGTAGCCGCTGTATTTTAAGCCGCAGTCACGATATTAACTTTTCGCACACTCTTTTGCATTATTTTCGTCCGAAGAGTACTTATAAAATAATTTCAAATTTATAAATTGCTTCCAATCGATTCTTTAAGAAATATAAGGACAAAAATGCTCCACATAATAAAAGCAAAAATCTTAATTTACAATTTTTTCCATTTATAATTTCTATTTATAATTTTTTCTTGAAGTGCAAAATCTTCTTTCTTATTTTACAGTAATAATTCATTCAAATAGTCATAACGAATAATCACTTTGTCGTCGGAAAATTTCGATTAATTGTACTCGCATTTCGATTAATTGTACTCACTTTTACATTCAATATCCTTCTCACAGAGAATAAATTCGTAAATATAAAATTAAATTTTCAGATTAATTTCCATCAATGGCGAGGAATAAAGAAGGAAAAGAGAGCACTCACCTGAGGGCAGCGTATTCGCCGTAGCGGTCGCCAGGTAATGCCTCTGATAGAGCTGATACTCCCGGTCCCGGTGCTCTTCCTCCTCGCTGCCGTTCGTCCGGTCATCCCGCGCGACGACAATACCAGCATCGTGATCCTCGCGCGCGCCACCGATCAGACTCTCGATCGTGAAGGGTCGCGGCGTCGGACGTCGGGCGAGCTTCACTTCCGCAACCGACGACTCCAGCTCGTCGCTCGCCGATCCGACGTCGAGCTCGGTTTCCTCCACACTTGCGTCCATGACTCGAGCTGGACCTGATGCTGTCAACCGATGGGTGTCGGAAAAATCGAGAGCCGCGATCTCGATTCGATGTTACATAGATAGCATATCTTCCTTTTTCGTGCGCAGAAATTGCCGCTTCTCAAAGCGTCGTCTTTCCGTCTTCTGACGAATTTCGTGTCTCGAGTTTTAGGAAGCTGAATCGCGTAGATTTAATTATGCGCCGAATCTGAATGAGATCCGCATCAATGTCGGATTTGCTTTATTCAAGTTGTGAGTATTGAGTCGTTTCAATATAAGCTTGGCGTTGTCAATTATTGTTCAGGCGCGCTTAAGGTACATCAATAGATTTGTATTAATAATTGTTTTATAATTTTCTGTTTTATTCTGCCTTGCATTGCATTATAATAGCTATGGCACATTTTATAGCGAGTTACAGTGGATAATCTTTACTGTCAACTGTCTGCTTTTTGCTTTTCTGTTCTACACAATATCCAAATATATGTAACAATATATGTAACATATAAATATCTATTATGAGACTAAAAAATCGTAGTCTTTTAATTCAACATGGTCAACGCGTCAATGATAATTTCCCTTCATTGACGATATCTTCCGTGAGAGAAAACCATCGATGTTTCACAATTTAACAATTTCCGATGTGTATTTACATTTAACATGTACTTTGGCACTGGTTACAATTTTATGTAAAAAGTAAAAATTTATTACACTCTTCGCTGTCTTCGTGATTTGCAGAAACACTATCGATTATTGTAATTATAATACAAGTTTGTGAAAATTAGACGTGTGATATTTAATTAAAATTAGATGGTATTTGGAAATAAGATCTGCCATGTAAAACATAGAATTCGATTACTATAAATGCATTCATGTGATCTCCTTTTCGCGCTTTATTATTTAAATGTAATTTTTGGCTTTTGCATATATTATGGCGATTTTGAATAAAACTGATAGATAATTAGTTCAACTTGTCTAGGGCAATAATAAAATATGAATAACTGTCATCGGATCCTTGCTACATTCGTACTAAGCGTTAAATTATCAACCAATATTACAAAGGCTAATAAAAAATAGTGTTAACCATCTGCAAAAACCTGGCAGAGTTTAATCATCAGCACAAATTTGTAGGTGGGCTTAAATTATGATAATACTCGTTGAGAAGTTCTAGAATTGCTTGTGTCCATCTTTCTAGATTTTTTTCTCTTCTCTTTCATTTGGCAACTTTCTCGACTATAAACAATTCCGCACTACTTGTTGATGATGGCACCCACGAAACTATGTGTGCACCGAGATGAAACTATACCGATATCGGACGGCAACCGTATGGCACACGGGTCGACGGGCGACTGCCGAGGGTATAGAGCAAGGTATTTTAATTCGTGATCCCCCAGCATGCGCGGTTCCGGTGTGGTGGATGGGGTAGCTGCGCCGTACCGACCTTCATTCGACCCTGATTGGTTGCATGCGAACCAACAGTCGTCCGGCCGCGCCTATCGTTGGCTGACCCACCATCTTGGTGCCAGGTTTTTGATCCGAGATGCTTGCATTCGGATGCTTCGAGATTGGAAACGGTGGACAGTTCGGGACAGTCGTGGTATAGGATCCATTTTTAAATGTCATGTGATCGCTGTGACGACGTAATTAATGTTCCCTAACTAAACATGATTTCCGGGATAATGATTGAAAAGATGAAATCTTCGAGAGCATCATCCAGAAAATTAAAATCTCGAAAATTGTTCGTGAGAAGAGCAATTTAAAAAAAAAATTTAGTGTTCATTTTTCGAGAGAGAAAGCTATTCTAGTAAAATATTTTTCTCTCCAGCATTAATAAATAATCATCTGCCAATGTTGATTTAGATTATCTATAAAAATATAGAGATATTACATAAGTAATAAATACGTAATATGTGATATTTTATATAATACTACGTATTGATTTTTACAGATTACTAAACTTCACTAAATCTCACATATTTAAATTATGAGGGTAACTTATAAATGACAAAGTTGAAAATAACTTTGACAGATAATTGACTAATTGCACTTTCTCGTAGACATGAATCGACGTTAATGAGCTCTCTTTCACGGTCTATTTTGTATCCTCAACATGTTCCCCATTAAGTTATCCTTCGTGCCATCCCCCAAAAGATATTTTCAAACAAGCACAAAATTAGTGTCTTGCTTCATTTGTTCACAGAAAAATTGACATGACTTCCCTATTTGTGAAACATTATTTAAAGTCATTATTACATGGTCCTCCAATTGTCTTGTGCCTTTCTAATTTCTTCTAAATATTTTAATATGTTGTGTATTTTAATATATGCTACATACTATAATTTTTATACATGTAAAACTTTTTTAATTATTTCAGCAAAAATAAGTTGTTTTTTATTAGAAAACAAATATTGTCTATAATATTATAATTTTAATATTACAATTTTAATATTGATTAACTATTAAGCGCCTTCTTTAATAAAATTACGTTATTTTAACATACAGAAAGATATATTCTGTTCTAATAAATTTGGGAAACCATAATTATTAAATTATGAATTATGCTGCAACGTCATTAGAAATATTATACTTGTTACTTCACGCGTATTTGCGTACACGTCGAATTTTAGGATGGATTACGCCCACGCATCGTTTACGTCGTTGGTGGCTCTGAGCCGGCTAATCGATGGATCACTATAATAACGACACTATTTTGATACTCGTTAGCTTGCCGTCACTTTAATTGGATTCTAAAGTTACCTAATATATAATTATTTTCGTGCGCATAGGTCTTTATATTTATATCTTTGGTTAAATTTAAAATTTCGAAATATGTACATCTTCATTTAATAAAATACATGTTTCTCTAATATTTATTCCCAAATATTGTATTTATATCATTCGATTATACTTAATTCATTCTTATTCATGTCCATATGTATCATATGTCTAATTTCTTTCATTTAATTTACCGCATTTATTATTAATATTGATCTGTTAATTCTGAAAGAATCTAATTATATTTAAAGTATTCTCTTAAATAAAATATTTTTATAATGTTTTGATGTAAGCATATATTTAAACTCGTATACATATACCTACAATTAAATTAAATATATTATTATCTAATAATTTATTTTAGCTCTAACAAAGATAGAGATGTTTATACATATTTGAATGATATTTCTTAATAATGTAACAATATTTTACGATTATTAATACTCTTTCACGAATTCGAACATAACGGATGTAGTTTTACGAGCTGTCGTCAGAGAAGTTTATGGCAAACGTTTGCACTCATTTACGCGACAGAAAGGCGGAAATGAGTATTGGCGAAGCTAAAGAATCGAGCACAAAGCTCGACAAAGTGGCACTTAACGCCTTGTAAAATTAGAGAAGGGACACACAGAGGCAGGAAGAGAGATAAAGGAATTACGCCAGCGATGAAAGGTGTTTAACGTAGTTTGCTCTGGTAGTCGACCTCCTCTGTCAGTTAAGAACAAAGTGATCACTCGAAATAGGAATTTGTAAACTTCTTTTAAGAATTAATCTCGATAAAATATATATGTAATATGTATAAACGTCAACAGATAAATTATGCTGAAATTTTTTGGAAATTTTAGGAAACTCACTATAAACTACTTATCGAAATATTTCGCCGCATTGTATGCACATTACTGTGATATTGGAGAACAAAGAAGCAAATTGTTTTTACAAACACGTTTTATCTGATACATCATCCCCGGAGAAAGAGCGAACGACTATAAATTTCATCTGTGTTTCAAGGAGTGGCAATCGGCCAGACGAGTTTCACCCTACAAGTAGTCACTGACAAATTGGGACAGACCATGTCGCGCAGTAGAAAATGCGAGGCACGCGCCAGGTCGGCGCTGCAGAATACAAAGAATAATTTTATATTTTTTTCAGATATTTAATGAAAAAACAATATAAATTAAATCAACAGTATGCGCTCTACAAAAAGAATCGTACCTGTAAATCGCGCTGAATCCCGGAAGATAATTTCGAAAGTTACGTATAAAAGAATCGAAGCTCACGTATATCGAGTATGAGCGCGTTTCAATGGACGATTCAAGTCAGAGCGTAATAATAATTTTGACACGTCTAAAGAGAGATTTCTATAATAGATTCTTGTAACCTCGCCAGATTCCAATTGCATTAAATCTCAGCCGGTGCGCAATTTCCGTCATATTCGTTAGCGATAAAACTGAAAATCCTCCAGTTACATTGTGTGCGACCGTCATACATCACATGAATAAAGAGAAACGTTCAACCCCGGGTTCTACGAGCCGCCATGTGCGCGGCTGCTGTTCGCGCACAACATAAGAACGCAGGAGAGACACGCTTCGACCGTGAATGCTCAGACGGCCTTAAATCTCGTCTCGCTGCTCGCTTCGCGGACAGCGGAGCGAAGCGACGCTCGGTCCGCGTCTTTTTGCGCGGCGGAGGCGTCGGTGCGCGTCCCGCTCGACTCGTTACGCACGTGTGAACGGAAATGTCGACGCTTAAACGCTCGCGGCCGGCCGAGTTTTAATTGCCTGCCGTTAGTTACGCGGCCCGAGAGGGCCGAGAAGCGTGAGGGAGAGAAGGGTGATGCGCGCGCGCGCGCCTCTCTTGGGTGCTCTTGGGCGCTATTTGCTCGCTTTTTGCTGCGGTTTTCGGTGCCGCCACCAATCGCGTCCGACGGCCAATTTGTCCCAGCACGCATCTTCCGTTTGCGTCTCTCTTGCAGCCAGAATCCGTCTTCATGCCCTCCCCGTTTCCTGGCCATTTTTTTTATTTCGAAATCGCGATGCTATTAAATAACATGTTTAATTCTGATCTGCTTCAATGTAAAGTCTCTGTTAATTTTCACTATCCTCGAAACGCATATTTAAAGTCGAATATATAAATTAAAATTTAAATATAAAATTGAGAAAGAATGCTTAGCTTCTTATATTAGATGTCAAATACAGTGATAATTAATATAAATGTTTATTAATGTAGACTAAGCGAATTTAATACTTATTATCCAGTTTGTAGGATGAAGAAAATGAGGGGAAATTACTTTGATAAAAATCTTAATTTTATTTTATTTTTTTCAAAATTGCCCATCATATAATTATATGATAATTTCGAGTGTCGCACACGAGCAGTTCGCGTTTCTCTGAAAATCACGGTAGGTTCTTGTGAATGACCGGCTCTGTCGTTAATCCATCACTCGCGGGCGGAGATAGGCGACGGTTAGCCGACTGTTAAGCGCTAAAGAGTATTCCGCGCGTGCGTTTCTAAACATAGCGACGCAAAACGAGAGAGAGAGAAAGGCCAGGTTCGCGATTGGCGGTGCGCGCGGATGTGCGTGCTGGTCAAAATCGATGGTTAGCAAATTAGTGGGCGTCGCGAAAACCGAGAAGCATCCCCTCCCTCGCGTAATGGATTAAATCGCCGGATCCGCCGCCGATGTGGGCGAGGGATGAGGGGGGAGTCTCGTCGAGTTACGCGCAAATTAGCGAGCCGTCTATTTTACGCGTCCACGCGATTCGCGTGTTGAAGCCGAAATTACTTGGTCGTCTATTTTGATCGAGTCTGTTTCTAATAATCCGATAATAACTATGAACTTGAGGCAAAGCGAAGAATGAAGCGTCGCTCCAGCATCTCTCCACGGCTGTTTACGCATGTATATATATATATATATACACGCATGCACGCGCGATGGTCGCATGCATCGCCGCATTCATTTCACGCGTAATCGCAAGCGCGTCCCATTTCACGTCGAGGATACTCGTACTTCTTGCACGTCTCAATATAGCACCCCGTTTAGTCGCGCCCCGTACGATTAACTTGATTTAGGCATACGCCGTTTAGCGTTTCAACCACGAGACCGCCTTCGGTGATTTAAAGACGTCGCTCTTTGTCGCTGGTCGTTTTTTCGTATTAAAGCAATAAGGTGATTAACACGTCCGACATGGTAACGGAATGCATGAAACTTTGAGAGAACGATATTGCTACTGACAAAAAGCTTTTAAGTTTCATTTTTCAGCGGTCGCTCTCGTCCGCGCTAGTTTTACAGCTGATTTTTCACAGATTTATATTCTGTTTTATTCGATCGTCGAGCAAAAGATAAAATTAAATGTGGAAAATCTTTATATTTGAAAAACATGCTTGTATCGAAAAACATGCTTGTATCGAAAAACTATTTCCGGGGATGGATTATATTTTTTCGCTTGTCTTTTCAAAGTAAAAAAATATATGAATTCATTGCACTCAATTTGCGGATACACTTCTGTAAATTTATAAATCTAATCTAATTTCTATTTATAAATCTATTTATAAATCTATTTATAATCTATTTATAAATCTATTTATAATCTATTTATAAATCTAATCTAAATTCGGATTTATAAATTTTTCATCTATAACTTTCCATCATACGCCATACAAGATATCGGTTAAAAATACAAAGAGCCCACACGCACAAGCAGTCGGTTATATTCTTTTTCGCTTGTCTTTTCAAAATAAAAAAAAATATATGAATTCATTGCACTAAATTTGCGGACACACTTCTATAAATTTATAAA